GGAGAATGGGCTTCTGCTGGGCTTAATTAATGTTGGGCTGCTGGATTGTGTGAGAAGCAGCATAACCACAGAATCAGCACCTACTTTTTGAACACCGGCCCAGATTTTGCCTTGGAACAAGAACTTGGACTCACATGAATTGTATGAGGGATTGGCCTTGAAAAATCAATGGGTGCTCAGTATCTGGCAGGATCAAGTTGGTGGTGAACAAGGAACTTGGCCCAGATGTGGAACAACACTTCTTCTGCTTTCCAGCCCCATGGTATAACCACCAGACCACAAACGTCTTTCCCACTTTTCGCTGTTAAGAAGGAAGCGTCAGTTTTCAAGCTTGGAGAAATGTGGTGGACTGAGGGCAGGAAGGACCTGTCATTCATAGGAAAATATGGGCTAAAGTTTCAAGATCAATTTTAATTTCAAATTTCCTTACTGCTGATAGAGTCTAGGAGCAGAAGACAGTTCAGCCGTCCCCAGCCCTGCAGCACACAGTGAGATCGCTCCTCTAGTTGCCTTTCCAAGTGTCTGCAAAAACCAAGGACCCTTCTGCATTCCCCCACATGCTGGAAAACGGTGGCACCTTGCATGAGATAGAAAGCTGGCTCATTTTCAATTCTTCCATAACCCCAGCCCCCAAAAAGGGACCTTGAATTACTGTGCCGTGCTGATTAGCATAGGATATAAATCACAGCCAGCTGCTCTCACCCTGCCCTGTGAAGCCAGCTCTCCTCAGCGCCTTGGGTTCCCAGCAAGTCACCCTGAAACAAACCCAAAGCTGCTGCTGGTGCCATGTGCTACACAAGCTGCTGCAATTGTGTCCCGGGATGCGGGAGAGCCTGTAAGCTCTATCTGCTTCAAACCTTTGCACTCAAACAGTATCAAGTTAATTATAAAATGTGCCAAGGGGGAAGCAAGGAGAAACCTTGTTAACCTTTTCTTTCTGTGGTTTCCCCCCCTCACTGCATTTACATTGGCCTTGAAGAACTGGGACATTTTGCAGATGGTTTAGGGTCTATAAATTCTTATTTAAATCATCATGAGCCAAGTATAACAGGTAGCAGTCCAGACTTCTCTAGAAAGGACAAACCCCAGCTAAGCATGTAAATAATATTCCAGTGCTTTTTATCATATAAATGCATACGCTGAGCCAGGTACCCCCAAAAAATCATTTTTCCTATTATTACTCATTAAAGTGCATTAGACACCTACTGCTAGATTATTTTTAAATTCTCAGTGAATATGCCAAAGAAAGAGGCTAAAGCTTCGTAGCTCTTCCCAGCCGCCCTGTGCCAGGATGCTCTCAGGTGGCTGACAGAGACAACCTGAGCACCAGGGATTTCCCTGTGCCCATGAGCCTTGCACAGCAGCATCAGAACAGCCTTCCTCCAAACAGGAAAACAGGAGCAAGGTACCTGCTCGGGATGAGGTTGTCATGGGACATCACAGTGTTTTCCTTGCTAGCCAAGCAGAGCATGCCGATACTCTCCCACGGCACGTCGTGCTGCCCCGTGGATCAGGAGAAACAGGGTGCTCAGGACTGTGCCCCACAGCTGGGACACAGCCCGAGCTGGAAACTGGTACCCAAACCCTAGCCACGGATCCTCAAGCACCATTGAAGAACATTGTGCCTCCCTCTCTTCCTCATGCTATAAGAGCTGCTGAATGCAGGCTCTGTAAGTTGTGTTTAAGATGATGTCCTCTGCACATGCTAACTGTTTTTATTTGAGAGTGCAAGAAATAGAATCTGCACCTTGTATTTATTTTCTTTCCTGGRATTTCTGAGAAATCCAAGAATCCTCTCCAGGCTTGTTTATTTTCTACACCTTTTTCTGTCCCCACCTGCCAACTATGCATCAAGGTAAATCTGTKGGTGAGTCAAGGGGTGTTAAATGTACATAGCTCCCCCCAGAGTTTCTCTGTGAGATTCACTGGAGCTCTTGTCATGAGAGACACTTTTCTCCTACAAGGCCCCAACAACCGGGGTTTAATTTTCAGCTCCGCCTAGTCTTGTCTGAGGCTGGACAAAAGGAGCCGCAGATGGGAAGTCATCCACAGACACCGAGAAAGATGCTGGGGGTCCCTTTAGTGCAGAACAACATCTCACAGGCAGCCTGTGATCAAATTACCTGGCTGAAAATGGAGCCGGCATGTTCAGAAAGATTTATTCATTTTTTAGTATTGTGCTTTCACTACCATTTTTGTTGTCTTTTGTGCCCACAAATACAAGCTATTCTGAAAAGCCAYTAGGGTCCATTAATCAGCATATGTTCCATAAAAAGTGGCTCTTGAAAGGCAAGCATAGCACCAATGGCTCTACRTAGCCAACATATGTTGTTCAAAACACACATATTCACCACTTTCAGGTCACTCTATTTTCATCTCAGCAGACATATCTTTGCTACATATATACTAGTAAATATACTATTATTTATTATTACACTCTAACTTCAGAAGTTTATGGCCATAGCTTTTACATGACCRGAGTGTCTACTCAGAGAAATCCTTTATTCACCCAAACATTATTTGCAGGGCTGRTGGCTTTTGTATCTTCCCAACTTTCTACCTGTATGGGTGGTTGCCCATCCTGGCTAGTCTGGCAAAGGGGAAGAGAAAATATTTGGCCCTCAGAGGTGGGTGATTCACTGCCCAGTAYTGCTGACATGACTCGTAGTTCAAACACTCTCTATCTGTTTCGCACAGGAATGAATGTTGCACAAGGTGCCAGGCAAGCGAGGCACAGCTAATGTGAAAACRCCTTGGGCTGCTTCCCAATTACCCTGCAGCTGTGTTAGTATTTACAGCACGGTGAGGAAAGCGCTCCCGAATCAGCACAGGAACTATCTATGTGCACCCTGAACATGTGAATCAGGCCACCCAGTTCTCTTGGAATTACAGAGTATTTGCAGTTATTTGCTTCCCTCCACGTGCTTTGCCCAGCAGGTAGTCTGCAATTATTTGATAATAAAAATTATAGGCATTTTTATATAGCTGGTCCTCTGCAGGAGCTGCAGATTACCCAGCAATTTTTACGCAAGCTGAGAATTTAAGCCTGATGTCCTGGCACACTTCCAGGCTGGAAGACTAGATGCCTGTCAAAATCCTCCTGGAGCTCCTGGCTGGCTATGGCACCGCTTCATCCAAGTGGGGCTGTGTGCTGCATGGCAGCCGTGCTGTTCCCCATGGCCACTCCTGCTCAGAGAGGTGGCCGAAAGAATTTTTCCAAAGAAAATGGGCTTCTAACTTGGTTACTTTGTGAAAATCCTTCAGGAGCAGCAGGGATGAAAGAAGCCAYATGAACGGAGCCAGTTACTGCACCCTGGTAGCACAGGATAAAAGCTTGTGACGGTCGCTGCTTGCTTACTGTAATTTTCCAACATTTGTGTAAAAATGCTTCTGGATGGCTTTGCTTTTATGCCGCCACMCCTCAAAAAATGCTCACAAATCGTTCCCAAAGAAATCGGACAGCAGCAAAACCAAAYCAGTATCTGCACATTGAGGGTTTTTATGCAAGAAGTGTCATATGGGGCGTGCATCCTGAAGYGGGCTTTGTTGCTAGTGGAAAATTATCCATATCATAGGTTTTCAGGGTTTCAGTGGACTGGACCCAAAAAGAGAAAATCCTGCTTTGTAAAGGTAACATCTTGAAAAATGTTTTCTTTTTCTCTAGCAACACTGTAAAAGTGTTCTCCTTATGTCTTTTCTAATTTATGTATTTGTAAATATAGTAAAACCACAGTGATTTGGACATTTACTAAGAATGACTAGTTTGGGGAATTTGAGAAACAAAAAGAGATAAAAACATCAGCTCRAAAGAGGAGTGCCTGCATTACAAATGCACTTTGTTATTTTTATCTTGGCAAGTGCCATTAAACTTTAATTATTTATACACCCATGACAGATAAGTTCGTCCCATTTTGCATTAAAGATGTTATGTGTTATTTTTGTCGAAGTAATAAAATCTAAAATCACAGCAACGAGACCCGGCTCCGGGCTTCCAGAGCAGCTCTAACAGCTCAGTGAACATGGGAGGACTTAGGCCTTGGTGTCTCCTTGTGCTTGCATCGGTTGCACCTGGACAAGCAGCTATTGGGGGGCTGCTTCTTTAGCTTCCCTTCACCTGGCGAAATGGCAGGTTCTGCGGGGAAAAGGGAGTCTGCAGAGCCACATGATTCTGCTAGGGCCACGCTCAGTGTTTTCAGTTTTGCTCGATCTGCCTTGTTTGCAGTAAAATGAACCCCAAAAATGTTCAGTCCAGAAATACACAGTGAACCCCAGTCCTTGGAGCAGACACTGCAGATGGTGCAAAGTATCGACCTTTCCATTTCTGTCGCCTCTCCCTGCTTCCATGGGGCACCCAGTGCATAGGTCGGGAGCAYGCACGTTGCTTCCCTTCACTCCAAGAGCCACAGAGGACGATAATTTCACCACGGGGCAACATYTTCCTTCCTGTCCATTGCTGATCATAAGAGAAGACCGTGCAATACCGTGCAATTGAATGTGCAATAATTGACACTCGTGGCTCCAGGCCAGCCCCTCGTGCCGGGTCCCAGCCACCAGCACTGCCCGCGGCCGGTCCCGGGCTGCACCCCCCTTTGGGACACACGAGCGGCCCCGGCGCTGGGAGGGACCCGCGGGGCAGGAGCCCGGGGGAGGCAGCCTGGGGGCCGCGCGGCCCTCGCGGCTGAGCCGGGCCGGGCCGCGCTGAGCCGGGCCGGGCCGGGCCGGGCGGCGGGGGCTGCCCGAGGGCCAGCCGCGGAGTCTCCACCTCCTCTGGCAGCGGGGACCTGTAGCTGCCAAGCTCCGCTAAAACTCTCGGCCGTCGCAGGGGGGACACGCACATCGCAGCGCAGGCGGCTTGGGCGCGCTTCTTTCTATCTATTTATTTTGTTTTTACAGTTTTCTCCCTTCTCTAATATATTTTCTGTTTTCCGCCTCCCCGCTGAGCGCCGCGCTCTGCCCCGCGCCCCTCGCTGCGCCAGCTCCGCCGCCGCGCAGCGCCCGCCATGGCCCGGCGCTGGTGGCTCGCAGCGCTGCTCCTAGGTAGGTGACAGCCCCGGGAGGTGCGGGGGACAGCGGGTGGTGGGCGCAAAGACCCCCGCCGTGAGCTCCCGCCGCCTCCCTCCGCTCCGGAGCGTGCATGGAAACGGCGCAGAGGGTGCCTGGAGACTGCAAGGAGGGTGCAAGGAGTTTGCAAAGAGAGTGCAAGGAAGGAGTGACTGGAAATTGTCTGGAGGGTGCCCGGAGGGTGCCGGGGATTGTGCGGAGGGTGCATGGAAATTGCGCGGAGGGTGCATGGAAATTGCGTGGAGACTGTCTGGAAAGTGCATGGAAGTTGCAAGGAGCGTCCAAGGAGATGGGTGCAAGGAAAGTGCAAGAAAGCTGCAAGGAGAGTGCGTGGAAATTGCCCGGAGGGTGCCCGGAGGGTGCCCTAAAATTGCAAAGAGGGCTGCAAGGAGGATGTGTGGAAGTTGCAAAGAGATGAGTGCAAAGGCGGCTGCAAGGAGGGTGCRTGCAAGTAAGGCGGAGGTTGCTCGGCGGGGCCGGGGTGCCCGCGGCTCCGGTTTCTGGCTCCGTGTCCGGCCCCGCGCCCGCCGAGAGCCCCGTGTCCGCGGGGGCCGCGGCTGCGGGGCCCGTCTCGGAGCCTCCGGCGGTGCCGGGGGAAAGGCTGCAGGKTCCCGGCGGGGACGGAGGCGGTCGTGCTAGGGAAAAGGCAGAGGGATTTATGGTCAGGGCAGAAAGCAGCGGCCGAGAGACTCCCAATGCTTGGGTTTCCTTAGGGAATGCCTGGCTGAGAGGTTCCCCTTGCTGGGACAGCAAGGAAATGCGAGGCAGAGCCTTGGCTGAGCCTCCGCAGTGCTGAGAGCAGGAGCAGGTGGGGAGGATGCTCCTGAGGCCACCTGCACACTGGACAGCCATACACCTTTCTCTGCTGCGATTGRCCCTTCTCTCACTTATTTTACTCATACGAACTTTGAGGAAGAGAAGGATCATCCTGATCCACCTCTCGGGCTGTGAGGTCCTTGCTACAGGACTGTACGCTGGAACTGCGGGGGGTATTTGCATTAAGAGGAAAGAGCAGGCTGCAGCGTGTAATCCATATGCATTTCTATAGGGTTAGTTCTCAGTGCTCCTGCAGGGTCTTTGCCATATGTTGTTTCCCACATGTAAGATTTGGACAGGTTGCAAAATACGTACCCTCCTTCCCTTATATTTGCTCAAGTTGCTGTGCTCAGAGATGTTAAACTGCATTACATAAGATTACTCACTTCTAATTTGAAATCTGTTTTCTAAAATCCTCGTATGCCTTATTTTTAGTCCAATATAATTTAAATCCCATGCTTGCTTCATCTCTTGTCAGTGACAGAATTCCCATTGAATGCAGTAAAAAAAGTAGGACCTTAAAACACACATTTAGCTAGTTAAGTCAGATCCAGAACTCAGGAAAATCAAGGCAGATTTGCCAGGGACTTCACTGCAAGCAGCTTTATCGTTATGTACCTTTTGCCTAACCCCAAGCATCAGTGTGACACTCGTGCATAATTAGTAGTAAAAGCACTTTACCTCGGTAACTGAATCTGGTTTTGGAGCCTCCTTCAGCAAAGAACCGCTCATTCTTGGAGAAGCCCTCAGAGACTTGCTAAGTTTTTACCTAGGGTTTCATTAAAGTCTTTGCATTCCACTTACACCACACTGATATTTTTCATGGGTAGCTTCTCCTAGATGATTTTAACATAAAAGATCTATTCTTGCATTCAGAGTTTATTTTTAAGTTTGAAAATTATGGTGCTGAGGTAAGATAAAATCAGCAGTTGCATTCAGTGATGAGATTAGGAAGAGCAGCTCATGAATGATACTACTAAATTAACTATAGATTTGTGGGTATGTATTTACACATCCATTAATGTATTTACTAATAAATTGAGATCAATGTCGTCAGCACAAATAGTTATTTGGGGCATTGTTACTTAGCTAATTCACTTGTAACTCCTTGCTATTTTTTGTTATTCATTTATTAAACTAGCCAAAAAAATCAACAACTAATGCATTACGCTGGATCCTCTGATTTGGCTCTATTTGTTCTTCCCATAATTACAGATTAGCCTTTCTACAAAGTATATGGAGATAGATAAAGACAGGACTGAGATGTAAAAACAGCGCAAGTGAAAAAAATACAGTGTGGTTTCTATATTTTCCCCACAAGCACAAATTGTTGAGTAAGGAGATTTTCAAAAGCCAGAAATTGCTCTGAAGAAAACCAAAGCTGGAATCCAATGCTAAGGGAGGTTGCATCTGGCAGAACAAAGYTTGGAAAGAGATTTTGCTTCCAGTGGGATCCTGTGCTTCCCCACAACAGAGTGTATGTCGTCTATAAAGACAACGCTTTCATGCATGAGATAAAATCAGCGCTAAAAGCAACCTCAGACTGAGGAAGCACCTTTGCGGGGCTATTAAACAACTCCCCTGGCTTTATGCTTGCTTGTTAAGGAGGCTCAGGCTACGCAAACGAGGATTGCTAGCTTTGTGATTGTAAGACAAGACATCTCGGATTTARTGATACCACAACAGTGACAGGCACAAAGCAATGATTTTAATGTGTAACCCATCTTCAGGAGGCTGAGAATTCTGCCAGAAATTGAAAATGTAATTCATAGTGCAGCTCCATCTCTAGTATATTGTGCAAGATCTGACGGTTTAGTAATCTGCCAGCTGCTTTTATCTATCTATCTATCTATCTATCTATCTATCTATCTATCTATCTATCTATTCTGTAGGTCTTGTGCATCAAGCTGCAATATTAGGAAATTTAGGATGTATTAGGATAAAAATGCTGATGTCCTCTTGAAATGTCACAGCTCCAGATTGTTAAGTGATAAGTGAGTTGAAATATATATATGTATACAGATTTTTTTGTGCTTTATCAGGGTGATTGTGTGATAATAATATCCTTCATGCTGATGTTTTCTCATAGCATATTAGATCGTCGCAGTTGGACGGGAGCTGGAGCTGAGAAAGCCGCAGTGGAGCTCAGCTCCTGTGACACTGCTGGGTAGATGTTTGGATCAGTTCGAACTCTCTCTGTTTCTTTATGCTGGGGATGATGGTACGACAGTCGTCACAAGTGTCACCACTGAGGGAGCAAAGAGATTTGAACCAGTGAGAGATTTGTGACGTCTTGGCCTTGCCCAGTAGGGTGGCAGAGATCCCTCAAAAAGGAGCTTTCACCCTGTGTTTTAGCTCAATTTATACACTATGCTCCCCAGAGAAAATAAAAAAAGGATTCGCCGTGTTTGCACTCTTACTAAACCTGTGGTGCTGGATACTGGCAGGTTTTGACATTTAAACATCTTGTTTTCCCCTCTGTTAATACAAAAACACAATGGTGCTTTATTTTTAAAGCTTTCCAGAAGAGCCTTTTCACAGGAAAAAAAAATCCCAATTAGATTCATTCAAAAAGACCAAAGAAAATATAAAGGGCAGCAAAGTTTTGTGGCAAAAAAATCGCAAACTTCTGTTAATTCTGAGGAGTGCAAGTCCCGTTATTAGATTATGCAGCCTGTAGGTTGAATGTCAACTTTGATTTTGGCATCTGTCGGCAATGTTAAGAGAACTGGAACACATCAAAACTTGGCTCATGTTGACAGGCAAAACAGTAGGGTGAAATTTCAGGCTATCTCGAAACCACACCCCGACCCCAAAACACATGTTCCGAGTAACTCCAGTTCTGTGCTTCAGCTGAACAAGTAACCTTTCTCTGCGGTTGCTCGAGATGCTGAGCTGAATCTGTGTGTTTCTGGTGCGGTTGTGGATCGAGTTACCACTTTCTAGGGGACTTTTTTTATTGAGGATATCGTCTGCAAGGACTCTCTTGATTGCCCTTCTGATCCATTGCTCCTGGGCTTTGCAGGAGCCAAGTAGCTGCCTCGGACTTTAAATGTGATTGGCTCCTTTAGATGTGATTTTTATGATTGTAACCCAAATCCCTGCAGCAGTGCCAGGTGCAAACCTAGGTAGGAGCTAGAGGGAGAAGGATAGTTCTTGCTTCGTAAGGGTTATCATCCCCGACTTGGGTTTTCAGCAGTGTTTAAGTGTTAGCTCTGCTGGGATGTGCTGGGGTTAGGAGCTGCATCGATACCCATGCACAGCGCGGGCCCTGAGCACTTCTGTACCTCCTGAGCACCTGAGCACTTCTGTACCTCCGACTTCGCTGCCCATGGCTCCGTCCAGCAGCAAACCCGCACACCCAGCACAGGTTTCCCCCCTTCACTCATCCCTGTTATTCACGTTGACGCCGTATTTACAGGCAATCATCGTGTCCATCTCACCTCAGCTGCCACTCAGGCCGTGCGCACCAGGCACYTTCCATCCTCCTGGCTACAGCCCCATCCCTCACACCCCTCGTCACATTTTGGTGTTCTGCCCTCAGCCCCAATCATCCCCACTGTTCATTTTGCCTTGGGCAAATGTTGTATTTATGTTACTRTCCTGTGGTGGGTGGTCCTCTCGGTGCTCGCGGTCTCTGCGAGTGATTCAGATGTTTGAAATGAGGTTGGCATTTCGTAGCCAAGCCATTGCCTGATGACCAGTTCCGCTCTTCAAAGCACTCCAGGAAAAAATATGCTTAGCCATCACTATTAAAAATGGCCATGATAGCTGCTAATAAAGTGTCTCTGGGCAGAGGTTAGAGGGAATTGCCAAAACTGCACGGGTGCTCTATGTATCTGAAATGACGGTGTGCCATTAATTTCAAAACCATGTGCAGTATTTTCTAATGAGTTTCCATCTCTTCTAAATTAAGGAAGATAGACGTAATGTTTCCCATTTGGTAAGAATATAAATTCCGGTTAGAACCTTTTAACTGAATCATGATTACTGTTCAGCCCTGGCCTGAGTTGGTTTGCTTTGGTTTTTGAAGGGAATTCCSTCCCCTCAAGTCTTCTCACCAGTCTCTCATCAACTAGATATCCAGGAGATGAAAGATGATCTCGTGGTATCCTGTGGCATGATTTCTTCTTCATTGTTTTTCTGCTTCAACTAAGAAA